GTTCCCCTTTGAGCTTCCACTTTATGTTAAGATCAAGCCTTGCAACTGACTTCTCTTTGAACTTCCACCCCAAGATCAAGCCTTGCAGCTGACTGCCTTTTGAACTTCCACCCCAAGATCAAGCCTTGCAGCTGGTTCCCCTTTGAACTTCCATCCCAACATCAAGCCTTGCAGCTGGATCCTCTTTGAACTCCCACCAATAGATCAAGCCTTGCAACTGACTCCCCTTTGAACTTCCACCGCTAGATCAAGCCTTGCAGCTGACTCCCCTTTGAACTTTCACCCAAAGAATAAGCCTTGCAGCTGACTCCCCTTTGAACTTCCACCCCAAGATAAAGCCTTGCAGCTGACTCCCCTTTGAACTTCCACCCCAAGATCAAGCCTTGCAGCTGGTTCCCCTTTGAACTTCCACTTTATGTTAAGATCAAGCCTTGCAACTGACTTCTCTTTGAACTTCTACCCCAAGATCAAGCCTTGCAGCTGACTGCCTTTTGAACTTCCACCCCAAGATCAAGCCTTGCAGCTGGTTCCCCTTTGAACTTCCATCCCAACATCAAGCCTTGCAGCTGGATCCTCTTTGAACTCCCACCAATAGATCAAGCCTTGCAACTGACTCCCCTTTGAACTTCCACCGCTAGATCAAGCCTTGCAGCTGACTCCCCTTTGAACTTCCACCGCTAGATCAAGCCTTGCAGCTGACTCCCCTTTGAACTCCCACCCCAGATCAAGCCTTGCAGCATATTCCCCTTTGAACTCCCACCCCAAAGAATCAAGCCTTGCTAGCATATTCCCCTTTGAACTCCCACCCCAAAGATCAAGCCTTGCTAGCATATTCCCCTTTGAACTCCCACCCCAAAGATCAAGCCTTGCAGCTGACTCCCCTTTGAACTTCCACCCCCAAAGATCAAGCCTTGCAGCTGACTCCCCTTTGAACTTCCACCCCCAAAGATCAAGCCTTGCAGCTGACTCCCCTTTGAACTTCCACCCCCCAAGATCAAGCCTTGCAGCTGGTTCCTTTTAAACTTTCACCCAAAGTTCATTTGCAAAAATTTGTTAGTAATGAAATGCTACAAACATCTCATGGTTGAACGCATGCAGGTACATGTACTGTAGAATACTTTATTTTCACTATTTTTGCTGAAGGAATGATTAAGTGAAAATAAAATCAAGCATATACATTTTGCCTATATTTTACATTGAACTTGTCAAAAATCAGTGAAAATAAATTCCACACAAAACACCCAAAAAGTCTTTTCAGCGAAAATTAATTCCAGCTAAAATAAAGTATTTTACAGTACATGATTCATTTGCTTTTAATTGTGTTAACTGTTAAATTTTTGTTAACTGTTAAATAAATAAATATTGCTGGATTTCTCCTTCCGCAAACTACCAGTACATCTGACTAAATATCTACATGTACATGTACAAATGTATGTAAGTTTCATTCAAGCATATTTCCTCTGACAGGCTTTAATGTTAACCAATTACGGCATGCAAATTGAGTTATGATTGATCTGCTTGCAAGATAGTTGGAATTAAATGCGACTGCTGCCTCTACCTGCAGGTACATTGCATTTTGGGTTAAATGCATTTACATATTAAACTTACACTGTAAAAAGATTAATAATTTATAATTATTCACTGGGTTTAATTTGGCTATTAGTTGACAGTATGAGGTGAAATAATGACTACTCTGGTTCATGCAGTCTCTGAGACTGACTGAATGTAAGCCATGTCAAGACCATGTTGTATAAAAACTTGTCAATTACAAGAAAGAACATAAATTACAAATACAAATACTGCAATTTATAGGATAAATATCCACTACATTAAAGTGTCTCTTAAAAACCACAAAATTAATGGACTAGGAAACAGGGATAAAAATCCACTAGAAAATAGAGAAAAAATGGGTAGAAAAAGGACTGTAAATCCACTGGGGAATGAGAATGATAATTATAAGTTGATTTCAGTCTTGATAAAATATATCGGTAAGAGATCAACAAAATAGAATTATAAACATATCAGTTAATTACACTTCTAAAATGAATGTAAAATATCAAGCAGATCTTTAGCTGTGATGTGATGTGATGTACCAGTACATTGAATTGCTGTGAAACACTTGAAGTACATCATATACTAACAATGATAGGTGCTAATGCAACCTATAACTTACCTTCATTAAAGCAATCTTGTTACTCTCCCTTTTACGTTCCTCTTCTTTCCTAGCCATAACATTGGCTATCCTCCGTTCTTCCTCCTGTAGAAACAACATAGTGTTAAAACCTGCCATGGCTAATGCTTATAAATGCACAATGATATAACAATATTTGTGTTGCTAGTTAATAAAGTAGCAATGCCTTGGCCTGTATTGACCTTATTGTAATACTGGTACTACCGGTACTCTGAAATACTACTCAAGCTGACCCACAGGGGTTTTAAAAACAACTTATATTGTTAAACATTCTATTTCATTTTGTATTCCATGGTTCAAAGCAATATTTACATACCGACAGGTGATACTGAGTGAGTCAGAGTGCAGAGTTAAGTAGCTTTATTTTATATTTTACATCGACAACTCTGTACAAATAGTCTAACTGCAGTGAATTAATATATGTTTTATCCAAAATGCAGGTGTTATATCACAAAATTATTACCAGACGGGGCATCAATATTTTATGAAAGCTGGAATTATGGAAGGTACCAGACAAGGTCATGGTGATAATGCAGTCGTAAAATGTTGATCAATTTCCATTTTGAACCTCACATAAAATTCTGGGAGAATGACCAAATTGTTTAAAAAAATCCACTTAGTGTGTGGTACACATGTCAATGACATTATCCTAATTTGTATTTGGCTGCATTAACATTTGAGGATACAAAATATGCCTTGCTTTTGTATGAACTTTGAACAATATTGGTTGAGACAAGTTTGACTATTAAACACCGTGATAGTGAACTGTAGAGTAAACATGTGAGAAATTCCAAATCAAATATATAGTGTTTTTCTGGTACATGTAACATTAAAAATAAAAATACCAATAGCAATTTTGTGCAGTTCAAATTATCACCAAACAACCTTAATACTAATAAGTGTCATAATGATATGGGTTCATAAACAATTAGAACAGACTATATTTAGATGGTTAGCATTATTAGCTTTCTATAAAATACTATTCCAATGCAAATATATTCAAGTTAACAAGATAGTATCTGAATAGCAACAGCATTTTGTTAAAATTACTAAGTGTTTTTTTTTTGTACTTTCAAGTTAAGATTTCAAGTTAGCTCACTAACAGACTAAAAAAATGTTGTTCCGTTGATCAATTACAAACTAGCAGTACTTCAGTTCATCACTGAACCACAATGATGAAGACAATGACAAACATGGTTATCACTACATTATCGTAACAAGCATCAGGAGCTCATCATGTGTAATGTTTATACTATAGATCCAGACATGTCTCAGAGATGGTTGATGGCATGTTTATCACTGAAAGCGTATTTCTGAGATAGCTCTGCTGTTAGCAATGCACATTTCAAGAACAGAAGATATCATTAGAAAATGAACAATATAGTATCAAAGCAATCGGACTTGCTTGCTGTTTTCAACAGTCAAAAAAGTAAAACATTGACATGAACGTCGACGGACAATCACTCATATGATAAGTTTCGCTCGACAAAGTCAACAACGGAGTTAAAAAAAAAAAAAGACACCAATTCACTTAATAAACCCTGACAACTGAAAACAACAAACATGCAAACTACTATGTTTTTTTTATCAAATTTAAACAAGTTGCTTAAAGTGTAATTGGAGAAACAAGTAGAACACAATAAAACAACATTTTTAATCAAAGAAGAATGTTGAAACTAAGTGTAAATGAAATTGTCCTGAGAGACAACCCTCTGAGTGTCAAAGTCAATTTCAGGCACCATCCACAAAATAGTTCCATTTGTAGTCTGTTTTTTTCCACAGAAAATGTTGACGAAAATTGCAACTTTTTTGATCAAAAAACCAGAAACAATGTCACATTTTGTCTGTCAGGTCCAAAAATTAAGAATGAATTCAGTGAACATTACAGAAAATTTACCCTAGTTTGGCGAGAGAAAAGAATTTGGCACCAAAGTTAAGGCTTAACAATATGTTCAAATGTTATTTTTATGCAATGAAAATAGCCACAGTCAAAGGAATGAATAACATTTATTATATCTTTGTACCTACTATGTACCAGAAAAGGTTAAGAACACAACAAATTAAACCCAACATGGCCACCAGTCAGCTCTGTATGTGCATGCAAATAGAACCAAAAATATAACATCCTGTTCTAGATTATGTCTGACAAGGACTAATAACCATCACAGGTCTTCCAAGCTCAGAATTGAAATAAATTTGATTGCCAAGAAATAAAAAGACTAAAAAAAAAGCTTCATTTTATTAAATATTTATTTAGCATTTTGATTGGGCACAGATAATAATCATTCACTAAAAATTGTGTTTACCACAGTCTCAGGAGGTAACTCAAAATTGTGTTTACCACAGTCTCAGGAGGTAACTCAAAATTGTGTTTACCACAGTCTCAGGAGGTAACTCAAAATTGTGTTTACCACAGTCTCAGGAGGTAACTCAAAATTGTGTTTACCACAGTCTCAGGAGGTAACTCACAATTGACTTGAAGACACAATTTGTAGTGTAATAAAGAATATTTATTTTGACTGTAGATAGAAAGTCTTGGTAGGCCTGTGTGGTAAATGCTAGTCAATTTAATATCCAGACAAATTATTAATAATAATGTTACTTTTAATATACAAGGAAGTTGTACATTATTGCGACAGGGTTACCCCAAACCCAGAGGAACATGGGTTAAGTGCTAAATACTTAGTAGAGACACGTGATAAAGTTTATTACATTGCAGTCTACAGTGACAACTACTCTAAAATGCATATTATAACAGAATGATTTTATTCAAGTTATTGTTCAAAGTACTCACAGTTATCCTTTTCATATCTAGTTGTCTTAGTTGATGCATATATCTCAGTATAGTCTGTTTGTAATATTGCTCTTGAGATAGTGGATTCCCATCCAATGACAATTCCGACAACGATGCTGTTTCCGCCAAACATTGAATATCTTCAAAACTGAAAAAGGAAACATTGTTTGTGTGTTGGTTCTTCAGGTTGGATGCAATCATAATCCTACAGTCTCAACTACCAGTAAAATAAATCGTTAATACTGCTTATACAGACTGTTAGGGTCCAATGCTAACAGTGAGAACACACACACCTTGGCTTTCATTTCCACAATAATTGACACTAAATACTTTTTCTTAGCTAATTACTTGTTCAGCCACCATACATGATTAAAAATTAGCATTAAGAAAGATCAAGATATTTGTCATAATTCAAAGAGCAAACTGTAGGAGAATCCTTTATTAAAGGCAAGTCAGGGTATTTGGTAGCAGATATAAGACCTCTCTGGGGAAAATTAGCATATTTGGGACAGATAAGAACTGAGTTTAAGCGATTCAGATATTGGGTTTTATTTGTGTAAACTGACATTCTAATACATTTTGAGGGTCAGAATTTACCCCCCATGTAGTGCGCGTTCTAGATTTTGTATTCATAGAACATATGCATAGACGAATGAGAAGCATGACCAAATCAACAACAACTTTTAGTACCAAATATTTCAATAAACTAGTGGTACCCTAATACCAAGCATATGCTACTGTTTTTAGTTGTGATTCTTTGCATTTATTCCGATTTACGAAAATATGACAGGCCCAACAAGTGGCAACGTTGATGCATTGATGATGTCATGTGTTTGAATTGAACGCTGTAATTAATGCGCATGTTCCTTGCAAAATGCACAATATATTACCATTTTTGGCAATAAATCATATTTAGTACCTGTACCATGTTTCCCTGATTTGATTAGATGATCACATACATGTACCCACAATCACAATGAAAAGTGCTCACAGTCGTGTTATCTTGATTCAGTTTAATATTCAAGCCAATTTATTCAGCTTTGAGGCAGGATCATAAATCTTCAAGTGCCATTTATAAGACTTTGCTTCAGCCAATCAGATGGCTAGTAGATTCAGACTAAACATGTTATAATTTACTTTACAATGTGCAATGATATGTATAAAATCTTCATCATTTTCTCAGAATAATTCATAAACAAGCAGCCTATCGGCTGAGATAGCTCCGCTGTTAGCAATGCACATTTCAATTAAAGAACTGAAGACATCATTAGAAAATGAACAATATGTATAGTATCTACCAAAAATGACAAAAATATTCACCAAAATTAGAGAATTGAAGATATCACGAAATGAACAAAGCTGAGAAAGGTCTACATGTAGTATCTATATATGTAATATCAAAGCAATTGGACTTGTGGTTTTTAACAAGAAGTCGAAAATAAAACATTGTAAAGTAAAGTAAAATAAAACATTGACACGGACGACGACGACGATGGACAATCACTCATATGATAAGCTCCGCTTGACAAAGTCGACAGCGGAGCTAAAAAATCTAAATTCACCACTGACTGGCAAGGGTTAATAATAGCCCAGAACACTGTACAACAAATTATAAATATTGTAGATTTAGACAATGTTCAAAATTTCTTGATGAACAGTGACCATCTATCAGTGACAGATAATTTTGTATAAAAATGTGATTAATAAAACAATTGTATATCACATGCTTAAGCATTTTATACCACTAAATATTCAGGCAAGTTTCTCAGAATCCATCATACTCGTGAAGAGTGAATGTAGAAGTTAAAACCAAGCTCACTGCAAACACTGTACAATAAAATAGATACAGCATTTACAAGTACCGGGGTAATAGACGGAAATACAAGGGTATTAATTCTAGAAGACCAAACACATCCTTATAAACATTTCACATATTTGATATTGCAATATTGGTTCATTTCAGTATATATAGCAAGCATTAGAACCTGGCTAATTCTCCAGTAAACACTAATATTGTGAGTTAGAAGCAAAACTAACAATATTGACAGACTACTAATATAAGCAGGGAGTAATCAATTTCCTAAACATATAATAACAACTAAAAGCCTTGCCCTCAAAGACAGTTAATATTAAAGCAAGCTTAGAAAGAATTCCCATGTGCTGAGTATTGGAGAGTATTTATTGAAAATTTAAGATTTGCCTCTCAAACAAGAAGCTTGGCAACTAATATTTGTCTGCTATTTGAGATGCACAACATGAAAACAAGGTTATTCACATTATAAAAATTTATAATACATACGTAAACAAAATTTGATTTTTCATCTGTGGTTTTCAGTCTAATTAATTCCAGAGCACCTCTGTGATGAATTCAATTTAAATCTGATTTTTTTATATATCAGAAATGGGCTGATGATAGATAATAAATATGCATGTTTTTTATGTCTGTGGTTTACCCATTAAACCAAATAGATTATTATACAAATTAAGCAATTATTGTGCATAGATTTTAAAAATAGGTCCATATATTGTTTCAGGACACACATGTAAAAAGTTTCATTATAATGTGATGATTATTCCTAACTATAGAAGTCGAAAGTAAAAAGTAAATTATTACGCAAAATAGGTAATTACTATGGATTTATATAAACCCAAAACCAATTAGATTATCACATTGTGTATATACATGTATGTACCAAGATTCATTGAAATGTGATTAGAACTAACAAATTATGAATTATTATTATTCATTTTAATCCAAAACTGGGCAGGTCTGTGTATAGTTCTAGAGCATCTACATGTAATTACCAAGTTTCATTAAAAAAGAATATTAGCTAAATATTGGCTAATTATGCAAATTAGGTGATTAATTTGCACAGATTTTTACCCAAAACTAATCAGATCTCTGCATAGTTCTAGAGCATATATGTGTCAAGTTTCATTGAAAAGTAATGATTAGTAATTGAAATATCAAAAGCTGAAAATTGATTAATTATGCAAATTAGGTAATTAATAGGTAATTAATATGCATAAATGTTGACCTATCAGGTCTGTGAATTGTCCTATGACATATATGTAATGATTAGTACTCAAGATATCAGTGGAAAAACTGAAAATTGACTAATAATTATGCAAATTAGATAATTAGTATGTATGGATTTTTACCCCAAATTAATCAAATCTGTGCATTAGCTCAGAGCATCTATCTACCAAGTTTCACTAAAAGCCAATATATCAATGGAACAGCCAGATACACACACACATAAAGACAAGCTAATTGGAAAGACTCCCATTGTGTGCTTTATTATAAATAGTAAAATTGATCACTCAAATTAACACTTCTGATGCCAATAACTATTATTTGGTAAAACAACAAAAAATCAGTTTAAAAACTGCTATAATATCTCATAACCACATAACCTACCCACTTTAAACATGTCTAAATTAACCTATATAGATCAAATCAAATGTTAACAAATTGACATCCATGCATAGCACTGTATGCTGCTGCCCATAACATATTGAGTCAAATTTGTGTGGCCTCCAATGTGTTAATGTTAGATTACAGAATACTAATTTTAGAATGTTACCAGAAACAATGAATTGAAAGAGAATTACCTTAATTAGACAACAACATGTACACAACATAGAAGATCAGAAATGGACATAGAAGCATGCAATATGACTAGTTTTCTCTACAGCCTGGCAAGAAATACCTTGCATAGTGAAATCTCCAGAGTAATTAGTAAACAATAAATGTAATATAATTACTTCTCATGAATGCAAATGAAATGCAAATTAGTTGTACATACTCTGTACAGCAAATTGAATGCATTTTACAACATCATGTCACTCACTGATAAGACATTCTGCAATATTTAGGACAAAGGCAGTAGCAGGAGATATGAAAGCAAGGATTTTAATGACAACACACATTTGACAACATCCTCTAGGTTTCGCCCTTTCATAGTACAGGATGTATTTATCTCTTTTGAATTTTATGGTATTTGTTTTTCTTTGTATTTATGTTCCTTACCATACAAAAACCCGCTGAAGGTTTTTAGTAGTCTAATAAGGTTATTATTATTATAATTTATTTTATTTCAAACTAAACCCCTTGGAAATACATATCTGACTAATCTGATAGCCAAATATCAACTGAAAATGCAAATGATAGAAAGTCTATGGTGCATATTTCATACATATTTCTGTCATTTTTTTTAAAACTCGCACCATCATATATTTCTCAAATACCCAATACCCCACAAAAGCTTTAGGAATGATTTCAAAAAACACAAATTCACATGTTGTGATGTCTTCATTGATAATATATTAAGACTAATCTGAAATGTGTAACATGTTGTTTTGGTTGGTTGGGATAGCCGTTTTCAAAAGGAAATTGAAAATACATAAGATAAAATAATTATTTTTTATGTTCGTCAATTAACACAACATGCACTGTATTAATTTCCCTCATTGTAAAAATAAAGCATGAATTGTATAATAGTCCCTAAATAACAGAGCAGTATATCTAGAAGCAAAATACTATCTAATATTTTGGAAGGAAAATTACACTGTGGACTGGTTACTTTTTTGGCAGAAAAAATCATTTATATCTCAAAATGAAACAAGAATATCAGTTTACTATACTCATCTAATTTTGGAGAGCATATTACTATCATCTGGTCCTTATTATCAGCAGTGTTTTATAGTGATTGATACATCTTGTACCCACAAGATAAAGTTTTATGATGAAAGCAACAACTGACATTTTTACAAAACATACCTATCTTTTCTTCTAGAATGACAAGGTAATACACAAAATATGTTTGGATTCACACAAATAAAGTGTAACTGTAGACAGAGTGATAGAAACAAATAGATAGTTTCAAGTTTCAGATAGTTTTGTCCTTTTTAGAATGCAAGCATTTGTGTAACATGAATCTAAGTAATGTGAATATGTTAACAGTTCAACATTGCCACACAACTCAGACAATGTAGTTACACTCAAGGCATTTCGGAGAGGTGATTTATTTATTTAAACATATTCTTTATCTATAATAGAGGAAAAGACAGAGAGAAAATTGCATCACACTTTTGTGGTATTTTAGGGGTTAATGGGTTATAAACAAGCAGCCTCTCGGCTGAGATAGCTCCGCTGCTAGTAATGCACATTTCAATTAAAGAACAGAAGATATCATTAGAAAA